ACTATTTGTAAGTCTTATACCAAGAGACATTTTAAGCTTAATGTTTGGTAGCAATATGATTATTTGCTTGTCTTTCGGCCCAGGTCTGCACTCAATACATTTTTAGCCCTTTCATGGGTATGCAGAAAGCACAAAAAGTCCACTTTGAAAGCAGACAACGAACGACCCACATGTATTCTCAGCAGCAGTAACATAACCATTCTTCTATCTGAAAAGTCTCTGTCATTTTTTCAGACTAGCCAGTCTCCTTGGTTGTCATGGTCTACCATTCCCTCCCACATAATGACAAACGTGTCTACATTCACACAACTTCAATACACTGAAGTTGAAAAGGAACACAGAAAATATACAAGCTTTGAATTTTCTGTTATCCAACAAATCTGCTAAACAGGCAAGAAGGTTGGGAAATGCTACTGTTTGCGATGGTTATTACAAAAACCTGTACAGAGTTCAGCTCTTCTTCAAAAGAAGTTTCAGAGTTCGCCATCTGTCCAATGTTGATGACACTGTTTTAGCACAAAGGTTGAGGGCACGTTGGGTCAAGCGAGTTCTGAAATTGAATTTCAGTCCTATTAAAATAACATAACCTGAATAATGTTCATCAGTCGCTGTAATTCTCCGGCCTTTCTCTCTAATGGCTTTCTCGATATTCTTTTATTTCAGGATGGCTCACATACAGAGCCCAGAACTGCCATATCCATCAAGGCTGAATCCTGGTCACACTAAAAAGGCTAAGCCCCTGTCATCATCTTTCAGTCCTTTCAAAAAGCAGCCACATTATCCTGTGAAGAAAAATAGGATGTCAGACCTCAGAGGCAGCTGTAATCTTTTGAGAAATGACTGATCCCAAGCAGCCATATCGAAGTAGGATCAAGATAGAACAGAAAATTCAAAGTGAGAATTTCCAAATTGTGTTCATCTGGCATGTACTGTATTACAAGTCTCCCCCTTTACTGTTTGAGGTTCAAGTAATGCAATTTGTTAAGAGTTAAACTACAGAGAGGCAACAAGTGTTTCATCTATTTTTCCTGGAGCTTGTGTCTGTTGGCCGACTGCTGCTTTTCATGCTGAAGGCTGCGATATCACTGTCCTCTTTATCACTCCTAGCCCTTCCCTCTGTCCATGGCTTGGACAAGTAACTGTGTGAATTTATGCCGTAAAAGCTGCATCCATCTTTACTTCGGGCAGATAGATTTGTTTGGTTCAGTGAGCCTGTGCTGTTACATTTCTTCACCAGTGGGGGAGCCAGGGAGCCCTGTGTGAGCAGTGATGTAAGCGAGAGGCTGTTCAGAGTTTCTGACAAGTGTTCACTGTTGAGGGTCTGTTGAAAGCCTTCGCCAACTGTCCCTGTGCCCACATCCTCATCTGATGGGTCCATGGAGTCCAGTCGGGGGCAGCCAGGGCTGGTGCTACCGCCACCGCAACTGCTCTGGCTCCTCTGGTGCCCCCTGGTGGCTTGGAGGTTAAAAGTAGTACTACATCTCTTGGGTAAATGATGGTCTTGGTCTCCTGTTGCCTGTTCTTGAGGGTGTAAGGATTGGCTTGGGAGGGGGTAGTGGAGAGGCACAGGGAGATCCTGATCTTGAGGTGGGGAGACGCTAAAGCTAAGCCCTTCCTCTACAGTGGTCTGCAAGCTGCCCTCTGAACTACCGGTGGCCAGGGAGGAGTCACTGTGAGATGGGTGCTGAAACAGTAGAGATCGGAGGTTAAATACAATTTAAGGACACAATTTGTTTTTCTCAGGTCATGGTGTGTACCAACAGGATAATAATTACTAAGAAAATAATGGTTAAGATATACTTTTTTTTACATGATGAGTGTTGTCCATGTTTTAAAAGTCTCTCTGACTTGTGAAACCCACCCTTTGTGTCTTAAAGTACTTGTTTCATTACAAATATCACATGGGCAGGAGCAAAGTCCAGGCACTGGTACTACAATAATCTAAGTTTATACGACCACAGGGGGGAGTATATGAGAATGTCACTAAGAAGTAATTAAGAGATTGGCAGAAAAAGATTTAGATTTAGGACAAAGAAAGAAGCAAAGAGAAAAATGACACAAAGGAACTGCATACAGATGAAGGAAACACAAGTACAGGGACAGGAGAGACTGCGAGAACTCAAAGCCAAAAACAACAGTGTGCACAGAGTCTGTATCAGACTCAGGGGCTGGCTAGGCTAATTAGCTGAGTGCCGCAGAGCATTACTGTAGCAGCTGAGGATCACAAAGGCACCCAGGCACGAGCTAAACAATCAAAACAGGTAGAGGAGAAAGAAAGGAAAATCTGTCTCCATGGTTACACATGAAGAAGAACTTCAATAAGGGCATTTTCAGTTGTGTTTGTTTCATGCAGCATCCAACAGACAGGACGTGTTCAATTCAGTACAAAGGAAATCCTGGCTTAATCTATAACCATATTTTTCTGCAGTTTAAAACATCTATTGACAGTGGTAGGTGTCATGTACAGTTTGTAAATAAAGGAATTAAAAAAAAATATATATATATATATATACTGCATACTCAGTTCGGATTGGTTATGTCTGCCATCTAATTATTTAAATCAATGTTTTTTTGGTTAGCCAACAATCAGAATCCATTATATTAACAATATTAAGATCATCATATTGGGCCTCACAAGCTTATTTTTATACCTCATTCGGCAAATCACATCTGACTTTTTGATGCATGACTGTTACTGTGGTTCACCGAATGCTCTCGCAGGAAATGTCTATTTACGCTGTTCCATCAAGTCTCTGATGTGTTGCACAGATATATGGATGTCAGGTCCCTATTCATCTAACCAGCCATCCATCCATCCATCGAAACACAGAGCCATCAATTCATCTGTCCATAATACCTGAGCGCTCAGGGGCCTGCTGTTGGCTCCGGGTGATCGAAGAGAGGCCCATGAGGCTGGGGAGGCCAACCTGGATGGCCCTCTGTGTCCTGGGCTAATTCCATTCTCAGGACTGCCTGGATGAGCTGCTGCAGCTGGGTGGAAGAAGTCTGCTGGTAGGTGGAAGACAGAGGGAGACCCGCCATCACCTCCACTGCAACCTTCTCCTTCCCTAGCTGAAAAGAGAAAGTAACAGTTTTATAAAGCTTCTACAAAGCCATGATTCATATTTTTGTATTTTTGGCCCTTGACTAGCTCTACAGGCCAGAAATGGGAACTCTTGACTGTTGTCTAACTCTGTTTGTTTGTGTTATTCTCTGTTTTTTTTTTTTTTTAGTGTATAAATGTTCTTTGGTGGGTCTTGTCTGTTGGACAGTAATGGTGCTGTGAAAAAGAATTTCCCCTCGGGGACAATAAAGTCTAAAGTCTAAGTCCTTTCAATGGCTAGATCGCTCCAAAATGCTAATAAGCACCCAAATGACAGATGACTAAACACATTTACTTAGATTTCACTCCACCATTATGCAGATAACACACAACTCTACATCTCTGCTTCACCTTCACCTCTACAAGCCTGCCAGGCACCTTCTGAACTGAAGATTATATCTGTATGTTAAAAGCTGCGTAATCTTTGAGGTTAAATTTTGAAATACACTTATCCCTTCATAACCTGAAATAATGTAAATGCTTCAACACTTGGAAACAGCCTCCCTGCTAATTTGACATGTTTTTCTTCCTAAAACCTTAATCTGAAAAGGAAAACTAATCTCTCCAAACTCTCCTTTTTCCGGATTTGTACAAGACTACATGATGTTACATGATAAACCACATGTCTGTGATATTGTGTCCTACTGAACAGTCCCCCTGAATCCACTTTGTTTTGTCTCGCTCCATCTGTTCCAGTCATGACAGTCATGTAACACAGGAACAAAGACCCATCAGCATACCATAATATGTCATTCATCAACATCTCTGTGTCCTTGCTAGCCTCATCTGTCAACATGCTAATTACAGTGGAAGTCAATCAACTGTGTGCAATATACGAGACATGTTCTTGTGTGTCGGATCCAAAGACACTGAGAAATGACATGCCTATTTTAAATGATACTATCAATGACATGCCAAAGTCATGTCTTAATGAAATCCTGTTGGGTAAATACCAGTGAGGGGTACAGGAGTGCTGATGAAAGGTAACCCTAAAAGGGATTATTCTAATATGATCTGATGATGTCAACGATTCAGTTGAACCTTTTTGCTGCTCTTGGATGAAAAATGGTCTCATAAAAGGAGGTTTTATTACTGGAAAGTACTGAGACTCTCATTTACATTTAAACATTAATAGTTCACGCTGTGGAACAAGCTAGCAAAGAACAGAGGCTTTCTCAATCTTTTAAAACAGGTCTAAAAAAAATTGTATTTACTGCTATCTTTCAACAAATAGATAGAAAAATACATTTTCCTGGTTCAAATCCAATGTAAAAATATTTTTTCAATAAAGCATTATCTGAGAATTTTTACATCAAAATAACTGAATTTTCTCTTCCTGTAAAACTTTTCAAATGTCTGATGACTCATGCACTCAGGGTCTTACACTAATCTTTTCAACCAATTTAAAAGCTTAATTGAAGCTAACAATCAAATTTAGTTATGAAGTTATCTTCAACAAAGCTCATGTTTAAAATTGAAATTTGAGCGGCATCCTTGTATGTTTCGGACTTCATGTTTTGAGACTTGATTTCATTATTTTAATTGAAGGGTCTATATGTAACTTTCAAAACTACTGCGTTTGTAGTGACACTGCATGGCCGTTAGGCGAACTGCACCAGTAACCTGTTGCTCGCTCTGCCTCGCGTGCTCGTCATATGTGCTCATACGTACACAAACGAGCATCAGCCACGAAACACTGGATATTTACCGGCATAATGTTTACAGAGGAGGTAAGTGTTCATACACGTGAAAGTCTGTGAAGGAGTCTGTGTGTCTGTATTCATTCTCCATCCTACAAACAACAGTCTCTGCAGGCACTGGCTGAGAGCAGGAGTATGTGATGAGTTTGTTCGCCTTTGAGAGCTCCTAGGGCGGATAGAAGTGTGTGGAAAGTGGCCTCTGGCTGTGGAGGTGAAGACTGGGAGTGTGTGATGAGTTTGTACTGTTGATCTCTGTAAGCGGAGCGGAGTGAGGAGGATGTTGAGAACGTGCATAAAATGTCACTTCCTGGAGCTTTCGCGGAAAATACGACCCGGGGAAAATTTTATACAGGCAACACAGATAGACAGTGAACATCTACTTTTTCACATCAGTTAACCATTCGCTCATTAATGGGTGATAAAAAAACGATTTATACATGTAAAAATGTACGTATAGCCCCTTTAAGGAGGCTGGAAAAATAGGATGCATTTATCGGCCACATTTGAAAGAGCCGTCTGAAATGGAAAAGCAAGTTTACGCACTGCTGTGACTTAAATGTACTTCAAATGCACCTTTTTAAAGGATGTAGAGACACTTAATTAAGACACAGCCGTTGTCTCTGTTTCATCAGCCAAAGGTTTCTGAAAAGGCATTTTGAAGGTGAACATTGCTATCAGCCCCTTTCGAAAGGTGAAGAGTTGGTGTTAAAGCAGGCCATGAGCCTCCTGGCAAAGGACTACAATGTGTCAGTCAAATCTGCTATGCTCTTTATTATGCAATAGTATGAATAACTGTAAGTCTTGTTAACATCAGAATTGATGAGTTATAAAGAAAATTATCATCTGTAAAGTTTGAAGAAAGAAATGAGCTATTCACACCACAACCATTTTTTGCATTGGCTTCATTTTGCAACACCAGAGTCTGCTGTTCTACCAAGTCATATAACCCAAAGCTAGCTGCAGGAATGTGTATTTAGCATGAGTTTGCATCTAGTATAGTTTTAGATCCCAGAGTACAGGGCACATGTTATTTATATTTTTTAGGCCCTGGATGTACTGGCCTTAAAGGCAGAATATGCAATTTTTTGATCAAGCAGATGTCGCCCTTGAGCAACCAGCATGAAACCAAAACAACTACATTGTTGTGTTAGCATGCTAATGCTAGCGATCTTTATAATGCTTGTATCTTCACACTGCATGTCAATTTTCCCGAAATGACCGTGTTCTAGAAACACAGTTAAGCAGTGAGTACAGTATGTTATTCTTCTTTTCTCTAGTCCCTCAATTTAACAACTTTTATACGCCGGGGGATGAGCTGGCCGGCTGTTCTGGCGATGTAAACAAAGTGAAGCTACGGCTAGGAAAGCTCGGAAAACACCACAGACAGCAGGATTCGGGTGTTACACTCATTGTACAGTCATAACTCACCGAGTTATTTTCAAAGGGTTTTACTTGATTTCTGCTACATTTAAGTGTGAAAAATCTTTAAGGGTCTGTTAAGTAGTGTAGTTTGAACCTTTGATGTTGAAAACAGAAAAAAAATCAAAGTCAATATCAATCACATTTCAATACTTTCCAATCAATATTTTGTATTTCTGGTTAGATGCTTAACTGCATTTTCGTTGTTCAGTACTTGAACTTGTGCATTGACAACAATGTAATCTACATTTCTCAACTTGAAGAAATAATTACAAAATTGTTTGGTAATTATTATCATAAGACATGCTGACATTATTTAAATAATTCATTATATATGATTATCAGTGGCTCAGCACCCAAATAAATGTTTTCCACCCATGGACTCCACCCCCAGCCGAGAGCAAAACATTTGCGCAGATCCGCCATTTTTATTCTCGCTAGCGAAGGAGTGATGTCTACCAGGAAAACTCAGGGGGGCTCATTGCATTAAAAGAGACACACACACACCAAAACAGAGTTCTGTGAGAGCTGGTTTATACAGGGTCACAAACCTCCTCTGGTGCTTGATTCATGTTATATTTTGACCAAAGAACAGCACAGATGTTTCATTTAGACCACAGGGGACTGTTTTAAAAGGTGGAAAAGGGGGATAATATGTCCTCTTTAAACAGGATCTGATAAAAGTATTCACTAAAAAATAGTTTCCTTCATACTGTACTACCATCATGTGTACTCTTGTACCTGTGCAATGCTCTGGACTTGGCTGCTCCAGTGAGGGAGCGTTCAGTCGAGGATGGACGCCCACCTCACACAGCTCCTGGACCCCGAGCTCGCTGCCTGAGCTGGAGGGATGCAGCCCTCTGTAGACCCCCTGGTTTAGCAACTCCTCTGAACTATGGGAGTCACTGCTGCCCCTCTGAGAGCATCACAGTGAAGGCCAAAAAAGGAAAGAGGAGTGAGTAAAAAAAGAACAAGACTGGAAACAAATGCGGAAAGAACAAGTGTGATATCCATGTGCTCTGATGTTCATGGAGCAGGAAAGATAATACACTGAAGCCTTTCATTTCCCCTTGTCATAATGGAAATCTGGTCACAATTTGTTACCAATTTCAAAAAAGCTTGCCTTTCATGTTCCTTCCTTTATCCATCTATACACGTTTGATTAAAAGTGGATGTGGTAAAAAAAAAAAAAAAGAAGAACCGAAAACGGTATGCTTCAAAGCTCCAAATTGCTCGGCTAGGGTCGTTTTTTTATAAACTGGATCAAATGAAAATGGCCTCCAATAAAGCAGTGATGAATCAGACCAGGTGGAGCTGCTCTGAGCTAAGAGTGTTCATGAAAAGATGAAGATATGAAAAACATGCATGCACACACACATTTAGGATCCCAGCATGCCCATATCAGGGGCACGCAGGGAGGCAGGTGTTTTAATCAGGCAGGAGAGCACGTAAGCAGTAATCAATGATGATTAACGTGATGCAAAGGGTGTAATGACATGAGCTGACTCCCCAAAGCCCCAGACACATGTACATGTGTGTGTGTTTAGTACAGCTAACATGAATTTGTATCACATGATTCAGGCTAAACCTTAATTTGAGGCTGGTTTAATTAAAAGTGCTAAAAGACAGTGAAATAATATTCTTGCGGGGATATGACTTCAAGTAAAATACATAGGCTCAAACAAACTAACCTTTCTACCCTATTTAAAAGACTACAAAATAAAGTTATTGTTTTAGGGACAATCGTGCTTCAGCCAGGTATGGGGCAACTGAGTGCGCCTTTAATGTTTTCTTTTCATGATGACTCAGACGTACACTCTGGCCCATCTGTAAGAAATTGAACCTCTCATGGAGAGTAATGCAGCAGATGCCACCGTTGCATGGTGACGCACTAAAGCTGAGTTGGCATCTTTGAAGAAACTAGTTGGAAAAAGCTACATTTCTAGAGAATCCAGGAGGCCTATTAAATGCCCTGGCCCGTCCCTCCAAAAACATATGGACATACACTGCCTTTCTTACGATGCTTATGGTGCCTTTTTAATGCATCAACTTATACATTGAATATATCCAAGCCCAAACTTAGGTGTTTATGGTATGTTCAATTAGGTATTCATTTTAAATTAGATAGGTAGGTAGATTCGATACAGATTCGAAGGTGTACATTTATTTTTATTTGTGTATCCATGTGTGTATTTCTGTGTGCAGATACCTGGCTGTCTCTGACCAGCAGCTGGTAGCTGCTGTGTTCGTCCAGGCTGAGGTCATCGGGCAGCGCTAGAGATGAAGACTTGTCTGACAGCTGCTCCGACATCAGAGACGCCTGCTCCACCTCCGCCAACTGGATCTGAACAACAAACACACAATGAGGTGTCAAGTTTTATTAGCATTCGTCAACCGACAGGGAGGTCGTTAGACCCTGCTGATGATTAAGAATTCGAAAAATGCATTTAAGTCCAACAGGCAGAGAAATCAAAAGGCAATTCATTAAAATCTCAGGATGAAAGTCATACTCAGTGAGCGTTGCTTCATTAATGTTAAAGTCAAAACATCTGTAAGATAATGGACACTATTCTCATCGTTATCAACCACCATCAATTACAGAACTTGCTACATTTACAGTATAGCAGAGATAAAAAATATATTGTGTTACATTTTAACTCAATTTTTCTGAATGAAGAAAATCATTTTGGTTCGAAGAAAAGATCTCATGTTCACCTCACTGCATGGAGAGGAGGTCGAATAAATATGAGATACTGTACGGCTTGTTAAGGGTTGAAAGGAAAGCAACCAAGAAGCAAAATAAAAGAAAGGAGGAGATTAAAAATATTTAGGTACATTTAGTTATATATGTATTGAAGCCAGCCTCCATGCATGTCAGTACATTTCATATACCCAGAGAGAGCAGTAAATATCCCTCTGCAGAGGTCCTCAGTGGAGCTGTGGTTAAATGAACGTAGATCATAGTTTAATACCAGAAGCTAAGAGCTACCCGACAACCTTCTGCACAAAACACATGGTCAGTAATCTGCAGACTCACACACGGCTACAGATTGAAATGTACAATCTGCCCATACATCAGGCTGGATTCATCACTTTTGCTCTGAGATGGAATTGCTTTGAGTTCTTGCGTGTGACTGATGTTTTCACATGTCGGTGTACGTCATGAGTGAATTCACGTGATGACCAGCCAGGCTTAGAGTCTAAATCGTTCAGTGAGAAAATGTAGGATTGGACCTTTGAGAGAGACATTGAATGAAGGAAGAGAAAATGTCTGAATGATCATACTGGCTACAGAAATGAATTTGGAGTGAATTTTGACAGCTAAGCCCTCCCACAATGGGAGGGCTTAAAGGGGAAGAAATCTGGGTATTAACTAAACCTGCTTTAATTTTGAAAAAATGCCTGCCTTTTTCTGATAACTTTAAGGGATAAAAAATGTGATTTCATCAGCGGGTCTTTGGACACTTTCACTCATGACTGACATGTAAGGATAAAGCTCCAATTACAGTGTGTGACACAGCTCTAGCCGCACAACATTTTACCTGAAGAGTATATGTGCTCATTGATGAGAAAATGAAAGTGAAGCAGAAATTTTCCAGGGAAACCTTTCTTTTACTCGCACACACTGCTTATAGTTTTTTTCTATTTCATAGGGATCTATTTTGAGTGAAAACTGTGAACTCACATTCTATAGCTTTACCATGTCATCGCTCACAAAGTGCATCTTTTCCCCTTTTTTCTTGTTCTGAAAGCAATGTCAGCAATGAAAAAAAAGGGTCCATTCCAGTGCAATGCAATTCTCATCTGATTTTCTATTACACTGTGACCCTCCTTTTTCCCTTGCGGGGATTTGAAAAGGAAAACAGAATTATTATGGGCCTAGCATGACTTATACAATACAGATGAAAAAAATTATTGTTCAGATAATTTAAAACAGGTTGTTTTAAATTCTGCAGAACCAATAGCAACCCAACCCAATGGTTGCATTTCTCTCCAAATAGACTAACATAGCATTCTCTTCCATTCACTTCCTTAGGGTAACTGAGTGTAATGGCAAGACCCCTTGATTAACTTATCATTTATTCATTCAGCCCACCGGCCACCTACATAGAAAAATGACACAACTAATGCTAATTCTGTTAGCCTGGCAATGTGTTAGCATCAAGCTAGGGACAAAGATGTACACTCTGGTCCATCAGTGAGAGATTGTGCCACCACTGTCTAATTGATTGACGTTGCAATTTGTATAACCAGTAGAAAAATGGTTAACCTAACTGTGCTGATAATTAGTTGCAGTTTAACAGGTTAAATAAATAAAATAAATCAACCAAATATGTAGGATTACGTAGAGCAGTTGATACAGATGTGTAGCATCTTTTGCACACACTGTCTAGATAAAAACAGTCAAATACATGAATATACATCACTGAAACATAAAAAAATGGGGGGTATTGATATTGATTCACTGAGATGTTTGGTCTTATATTGACCAGGGGATGCAAATGTATACAGATGTGGGATTGACTCACGCAGTCTGCCTCTGTAAGATGTTTGACTCACACTGTTGCTGTATGCTTTGGCAGACCTCTACACATTCAAGAGATGTAGTCATGTGAGACGCACACATATACACACAGCATGACTAATGTGATATGGTATATTAGCCACATGCATTCACAGGATAGACAGTTTCTTTCTCTGTGTTTCTTACACAGGATGTGTATGTTTCTGCAGACAGGGTGTCTGTGATGAATCTTTGTTCCTGAACCGAGGAGTTTTTGAAGTTTATTTTGGAGTTTAAAGCTTCTGTAGTATAAAAGCTAGTAACTGGGGTAATATACAGAACATCACTAAAATAACTGTTGTCCTTGAAGTTAGTCATTTTACCTGTACCTTAAACATCAATAATGCACCCAGATACAAGAATACATCATAGAATGTATGATCGTTGCATAATATTTTCAATACTCCTACTCCCAAATATGAATTTCTTTCAACATTTATCCTAGGGAAATAGATCAAGTAGGCTTTCTCATGCAAATAAATTATTTGATCCCCCACTGGCTTCTAACCAAAATCTAAACGCTTGACAGGCATTCAAAGCAGATTTCTCTGCTGGTGGGCAAGTTTAATTTTTTTTTAAATATATGAACAAGCTAAATGATAGAATAAGTGGATATTGTCCTGCTGTGACTTTTGCCTTGTAACTGTTACTTTGCTAAATGTTGCAAAGTGCTGTGCTTATGGTCGCTTAATGTTGGGTCTTTCTAAATAATGATAATAATAATAATAATAATAATAATAATAATATTAATTATATAATAATAACAAAGGGTGTGGTCTTGAGCGGCTCTTTTTGTTATGAATTGGCACTATACAGACTGATTGATTGATATTGAATTGGACTTTGCACTATTGACAAATAATGGCCCTAATGTGTTCCCTTCACAGCAGGCCTGGGAAATATTTACTTATCAGGGCATTAATGGTCAAATATATATTAACAATTTGTTTTAGCATATTAAAAAACAAAGAGTAAGGTCTTTTACCTGCTTTTTGTAAAGTGTCTCAAGATAACGCTTGTTATGAGTTGATACTATACAAATAAAGATTGATTGATTGATTGATCATGATTGTACGTGCGCTAAAGAAACAGATTATTACAATGGAAAACATTGTGTGTATTGGTGATCAAAAATGATTACACTTGCACTGGATAAAGCAGACAAATTTGTTTGATTGAGGGCATGTGGCATGCTCACTAACCACTAGTTATGCTACATGATTCAAATCAAGAGCTTGACAGAATTCAAGAAGGAGAAGGGATGTGTGGTGTGTGTGTGTGTGTGTGTGTGTGTGTGTCCACAACCCTACTAACCTCTTGTGGGTGGCTCTTGCAGTCCTTGCAGACTGGAGGAGTGCAGTAATGATGAAAAACTGAACCTGAAAGGTTGTCAATCATGTCCCCTTCCAACGAGTCCTTGATCAGCAGAGACACACTGTCAAGCCACTGGCTCTCCTGAAACAAAGATGTCAAACACATTGTTTTTCTTCTTACTTTTATCTTAAGTAGAGAATAACAAGCATACTTTGAACAGAGAACTTCGGGAAACACAATTTTAGGGAGAAAACAGATACATTTTCATGCAGCCATAGTTTGATGAAATGGTGAATTGAACTCATGTCTGGCTCCAAAACACAACATGGTGACGGCCAAAACCTCAAAAGTGATGACCTCTAAGGGTGAGAGTTAGGCCAATAAAATAAAAAAAGCTATCCTATAAAATGTTGAGCTACTTCTGAAAAAAAACAAAAGAAAAAAAAACCCTTCTATTCCCATTCTTCATGCACCAGAGAAAGTTATACAATTTATTGCGTTATGCAATCAATACGCTCCTATCTGAGGCAATATCAATTTAGTAAGACAGTTTCTCCCTCTGACGATGTGTCACATGTAGAGATTCATCTCCTGTACTCCTCACTCTCCATCTTACTCTGTCTCCCTTCACTCTTTAATAAAACACCTGTAATGACATTACCTTGTATTGTAATTAACCCCAATCTGTCGGAGTAGGTGCTCTGTTCTGTCACTGCTGGCAGGTGGAAAATGGAGGTTGATGACTTTTGCTTGCTTTCAACCCAGTCAGAGGGACAGATGAATGTCAGGTTTGTAAGCTTAATTACATGATCGCTTTAAAAAAAAAATACTCATCCACTGCCTTGAGCTGTGTATAACTTAAATGATCACTAAATGGCACCATGGAGATTATGGCTATTGGTTTTAGTTTCAGTGGAATGCTTGAGGGGATTAGATCAGGGAAAGGTGGTAAGGGCTGGATATGGACCTTAAATGAAGAGCAATTTAGCTTGTCATACAACAAGCACATCAGAATCCAAGCTGTGTGCTCATCTCTCTCTTTTATTTCTCCTCCTCTCGTCTTTCCATGAGCTGGACCATTGGACATCCTGGAACCTCTCTCTCTCTCTCTCTAGGCTGTTGGTGACTCATTCCAGATATAAGGCATGTTTTTCTTTTGTCCTCCAAGATATCTCCTTGTTTTTCTTCCTCCCTTCTGTGTTTCTTTTGCATACATGTCCCTTTTCGAGTCTCCATTGGTCAAACTCAGACCCTTAATAATTGTATGTCCAGCAGTACTTGCAAAGGAATCTGTAATCAGCTTCTTGTCCTGTTTCTTTGTATTTAACTATGTGACTTTCAGAAATATTCCTAAAATCTGTTTGCAGCAGGCTTCATAAGAAATCATGACTTTGGTATTAAATCATGACAGTGGCATCAACTACTGTATGTGAGAAGTTACGGAAAACACGGCATAAAGACAAAAAAAACGACATTCTTTTTCACTGAAAGACAGCCATGACAGAGCACAAACATGAATCCTATTTAATAAATTAAATTGAAAAAAATGTGTTAGTGCACAAAGTGTTGGACACAAGTCATATACATGTCAGCTCAGCTTTTCCTGCTGTCCTGTCTACAGTATAAACCACAGTTCCTTCCAGCTGCACATTCCTAACTCCTTTTCTCCGTTTTAGAGTTAATGCTGACGGCTGCGAGGTGAAGAGGGCAGTCACAGTCGATAGCCAGACCTTGGAGGCACCCACTGATGTACTACACGCACACACACATACACATTGTTTCAAGTGTGGAGAGACGAACAGCAAGGGGCGAGGCAGCCTGATTGATTGGCTTAGCCAGGGGCCATAGTTGCGGTAAGTGGTGCCCATGACCCTGTTTGATTCATTGCACTTCCATCTGATACTCACACGATGGATCATCTCCCTCTTTTTCAGATATCATTTCATGTTAATGTTATTTTGTACATTTTGCTGTTTATCTAATTATTTCCTTAGAATAAATACAACGTTTTGTCTCTCTATTGCAACACGTGTTTGAATAGATATTACCACGCACTAAATATTCATTTACAATAGAAGTGTGACATATTTATGAGATTTTAAACATCAGGAAAGGCGAATAAATCAGTATTTTTGACAATATAATTATTAACTGAATCCAGATCCGCTAAAAAATAATGAACTGTTTTTCGACCCATGGCCTCTCCAGCATGCTTTAAAAAAAGTCTCATAACCTTTATCCTACTTACAGAAAACAGACAAAAAACAAAGACAAAGAAAAAGATCCCAAAATGTGAACTCTTTCATGGAGCTACAGTGGTATAAACAGTTTGCTGATATAATAATCTCATTAACGTTCAATGACTTATTGTATTATTTCCTTGGCAGATGTTATAAGTACTCATAGTCAGGTTATTTTACTTGCGTATAAATCTAAACTTGCCATTTTTCTTGGATCAGGAGATTAAGATATGACGTTCCACATGTTGTGTTGCGTGTTCATAGAGCATTTATGTGTTCCTTTTATTGCCGTTTCACCTACATGAAAATCTCTGTAGAATGCTCGTTAACTCAACTACTTCCTGTTACGAATGTGTGTGTCCTTCAAAATAAGAGCACATTGTAATAGTAACAAATTACACCACACCACAATTCTACTACAATTCTACAATTCACTTAGCAGACGCTTTTATCCAAAGCGACGTACATCAGGGAGTAAGTACAACACAAGCAAGGATCTAGAAAAAAGGGATTAATGTCAGTAAGAGCAAACGATCAGCTTTGAGTCCGATTGGACACACAGGTGCTGACAGGCATTGCACAGAGGCAAAGCACAACATTGACGGCAGTTCTTGAGAGCTCTAAGTATAGAAACCATCTTATAAGTCATCGTTATCAAAAAAAACAATCATGACAATCATCATCATCATCAATGATATCAAAACCATCATCATTAAGTTAGTAGGTATTCATGAAAGAGCTGGGTCTTTAGCTTTTTCTTAAAGGTGCAGAGGGACTCGATCGAATGGATCACCACACAGATGGTTACTGCTTATTAGAATCAAAAATACCCGAACCCTGCTATCCTACTTTTCATTTGTCATGTAGCACTTTAATGATGGTTTGGAAATAATCACTGTGCGATCATCAACACAAACACATATTTCAGTCAGCCAACTCACATGGAATGGATTATTATGTGAGTGTGGAACATTTTAGAGTGGATATTTGGATTCAGATAGCAGAAATGTTTTAACTCTCAGAGCCCATTGTACATTCATGGAAATCTTTTGTTGAAGTCTAAAAGAGTGAAGCCTTTAAGAGGACATT